ACTCACCTCAGCCTCCCAAAGGCACGGGATTACAGGCTGAGCCACCGAGCCCGGCCTAGACTTCTTTTTGAATCTCTTTGCTATAGCAAGCAAAAAAGAAGCCCAAACACCCCTCTCCTTTATTTACCTCACACCCTTGTCCTTCAACCATTCCAAAGCAGTGAGCAAGAGCATAGAGTAGAAGCCAGTGGTGGCGCATACCTACAGACTCAGCTACTGAGGAGGCTGAGACAGGAGGATCACTTTGGGCCAGGAGTTCAGGGCTGTAGAGCACTATGCCTGCGACTGTGAAGAACCACTGCACTCCAGTTTGGGCAACATAGCAAGACCCCACCTTTTAAAAAAAACAAAAGAGCTTGGAGTAGGACTTCTGACTGACACAATAGGGGATGGCTTTTTTTTTTTTCTTTCCATCTCTTCAGGGTCCCATAGCTGAAGAGTGGCAGGCTACAGAAAACCAGGGGTTGGATGGCTGGCATTGGGCAGTAACAAGACCTAAACTGTAACGTGGCAGAAACACTCAGCCTGGGCAGCCACGGAGAGTGGCCTGCAAACAACATTAAATCATCTGTACTCTAAACTTGAAATGAGCACCTATCCTACAAATATTCTTTGAAGAAGAGTCATCATCCAGCCGCAGCTGCATTAGCTCTATCTCGAAAGGGCATGCTGAGACCGGCAGTGGGTAAGGGAATCAGATGGGGGGGGTGACACAAAACTCCCCATCACTTTGGCTCCCATTTCACTCTCAATTTCCCACCTGGAAATTGATGAAACACTACACACCTATTCTGGGTTAAATTCCCCAGCAGAGCTAGAAACACTCATCCACAAAATTACCCTCCTCTGTCTCTGGAGAGGAAAAATCAGATGGCCAGCTTGGGGAGGGAGGGGGCGGGTAGAGAACAAGGACTGGAGGCCAGGGGAGGAGGGGAGCAGGACAGACCGGCGAGCACTGGAGGACACTCCTCTCCCCAGCCCTCATCTCGTCCAAAAGTCCTCGCATGGGTCGCTTCCCTTCCCTTCCCCTCTCAGCCCGGGTTCCGCATCCCCGTCACCCTAGAGCCGAGCGGCTGGAGACCGGAGCAAAACCAACAACCGTCCCAGGAAGCTATCGGTTGCCGATAGGGGGAAGGGAGCGGGAGAACTGCAAGGAGGAAGGAGGAGAAATCCGAGATGAGAGGCGACCCCCAGGGCGGAAAGTCCAGTCCCTCTCAGTCAAAGGCGGAGCTCCCGGCCAATCTCGGCGTCGAGTCTTACCGTCTCCCCCCCCCCCCCCCCAGCCCAGGTCCTAGGATTCCACTCCGTCCCCTTTTTCTTACCAATCAACCAAAGCACCATGAAATTCTTTGAAGGGCCTCGGAGGTCACCAGGACCCGCGGGAAAGCCTGATCCACCTCGGGGGGGGACACAAAGTCCAGAAAAGCGCAGGGATCCACGACCCCATCCAGCTGCCCACAGGACGCCCGAGCCCCGCGGCGCGAGCAAGGGCTCCCGGGCGCCGAGTTCCAGGCAGGAGCCGCAGTGTCCTCCCAAAGGGCAGGGCCGCCCCGAGCCTCCGAAGAGTCTTCATCCCGAGACTCCCACCGCCCGCCGCAGGCGAGAGAAAAAGGGAGAAGCGCCGCGAAGCGCTGGCCGCACGGAGCCGGGCGCCGGGTGATGTCAGCGAACTCCGCGCGGGGCACGGGAGGGGCGGACTTAGAAACCAACAAACCACACCGGGAGGGCGGTGCGAGCGCTTTTTCTTACCGAGGTCTGACCCTCCGGGTCCACGTCCACCAGGGTACACCAGCTCCGCGTCCCGTTCATCTTTCTCCCGCGGGATCACAGTACTGGTGCCGCCCGTCTTCCCCGCGGTCCGGTTCCAAACAGGCAAGCGCGCGCGGAACGGCCCGCCTTGTATAGGCGCGTCGGGGGCGGGGCTGAAGGCGGGCCACGCCTCCAGGACGCTGTTCCGCCAACCAGAACAAGGATCAGCGCGAGATGGGCGGGGCCCAGGGGCTTTGAGACTCGCCCCATCGGCGCTCGCTCACGTTTGCATAAAGGTGGGGCTTGGGCGCGACGTGGGACTGCGCGACTGAACAGCTTTATCTAGCCTATGTGGTTGTACCTCAAGAGTCATTCGTCTTTTCTCTTTTTTTTTTTTTGAGTTGGAGTCTCACTCTGTCACCTAGGCTGGAGTGCAGTGGCACGCTCACGGCCACCGCAGCCTCCACCTGCTGGACTCAGGCGATTCCACCACCCCGCCCCCCACCCCCAGCCTTCCAGGTAGCTGGAACTACAAGCGCCCAGGCTAATTTTTTGATTCATTGTAGAGACGAGGTCTTGCCAAGTTGCGCAGACTGGTCTCAAATCCCTGGGTTCGGGGAATTCTCTCGCCTTCACCTCCCAAAGTGCTGAGATTACAAGCATGAGCCACTGCGCCCGGTTCTTGTCTCCTTTCAACTCTCCAAGACTAGTATTGGTTAGAATCACCTTGCCTGCCCCTAGAGTTGGAAGCTGCAAACGCTTCCATATATTCTCCTCTCCCTATACGTAAGCCAACCTGTAGGCTTGGTAGAATTGAGTAAACCTTTCCTCCACCGCAGGAAGGCAGGCACCAAGAGCCAGCTAACTCAGACTGGCCCAAGCCAGTCTGGCAGGTGCCCTTCCCTGGCAAGAAGCCCAGGCCAGTCAAAGCCAGCTAGGCTCTGGGTGGGGCTTGTTTTGCAGAAGCTCTTATACTAAAGTTGCCCTTATATGGTTAGGAGAGGCGGGACACGTTGCCTTAAAAGGAATTTATGTTCTTGAGAAGTTTGAACTTCAACTTCTCCAGAGGCATTTGCTCCCCAAGCCTAGGCTGGGATCTTGAGGGTCTAAGAGAGGGTTGGCCAGGCAGGATCCTGAAGCCTATTCCCAGTCCTGCCACTCCACTTGGCTACTGCTCACATGGACAGCAGGCAGAACTCATCAGGAGGAGGTCTGACCTCTTGAGTAGACAATGCCCTTGCGTCTGGCTATAGGCTCTGGTGAGGGCTCGCTCCCCCTTCCAGGCAACACAAGGGCAGAGAGGCAGAAACTTCCCTCTCTCCCAAGTAGGGACTGGATCCTATGCCAGTTAGGAATGAATGAAGATCTTTGTACCTGGGAGGTGAAGGGTGGGGTTGTCCCTGTGACCCAAGGGGATACAACCCAGTTCTAATCCTCAAAGAAGGTATTTATTGGCCTTGCTCTTCCCAGAGAGTTGTTCAGGAGAGAATGGGGCTGCTATAAACATTTCCAGGCTTCCTAGGTCCCATCTGATCTGCTGTAAAGAGCCTCTGAAAAGCGAAGTGAAGGAACTGGGTGCCGTGACTCACGTCTGTAATCCCAGCACTTTGGGAGGCCAAGGCTGGGGGGATTGCTTGAGCCCCAGAGTTTGAGATCAGCCTGGGCACCATGGCTAAACCTCATCAATACAAAAATATTAGCAGGACATGGTGGCTGGCGCCTATAGTCCCAGTTACTCTGGAGGCGAGATGAAAGGATTGCCTGAGCCCAAGAGGTTGAGGATGCCATGAGCCATGATCATTGTGATCACTACACTCCGGCCTGGGCAACAAGAGTGAGACCCCAAGTCAAAAAAAAAAGTGAAGAAAACCCCAACATCAGTCTCTAAACTGTTAATATGACTTATTCATAAAACTTGGACCTCCAAATAAGCCAGGAAAATGAGAAGACAAGCCAGGGATTTTATTATAGATATATAATTTTAATGTTTAATTTAAAATAAAACCAAGGCTGCATTCAATTGGGAGAGAATGTCTGATTTGCAGAATATAAGAATTGTTTTAAATCATGAAATTACAAGTCATTGGTGAGAACAGCCTTCCTCCTCCCACAGGCTCCCTCCAGAACCTGCTTAGGAAGAGAAGTGAATCATCCCCCTTACCTCTTCCTCGGCAGGGCTTGGCTCTCCCCAAAAGCCAAAGGAGAAATAAATCCTCCACTGCTTCTTCCCTTTTCTACCAAGAGTCAGCTTCTAGCCCCAGGCAAAGCCCTGAATCAGGGCCAAGCTTCTGAGCAAATAAGGGTCCCTTAGTTCTCTGTTGAAGCTGGGCACATCTGGTCAGAGAGGCCACAAGGAAGGCCACAGGGACTGAGACTTTTGCTTTGGGAACCTGTACAGAGAGTTGTCAGGGTTCCCAGATGGAACCACCTTATAACCACATCCATATCCACAGAGAAGGGAGAAGAAGGATGGAAATCCTGAGCAGAACCAGGCCTCCACCACCTTATCAAGCTTTCCAAAGTCCCTCTTTCAGGCCAGACGCAGTGGCTCACACCTGTAATCCCAGCACTTTGGGAGGTGGAGGCGAGAGGATTGCCTGAGCCTAGGAGTTCAAGACCAGCCTGGGCAACTTGGCGAGACCTCATCTCTATAAATCAAAAAATTAGCCAGGCGTGATAGCGTGTGCCTATAGTTCCAGTTACTTGGAAGACTGAGGTGGAAGGATCGCCTGAACCCAGCAGGTCGAGGCTGCAGTGGCCATGAGCATGCTATTGCACTCCAGCCTGGGCAACAAAGTAAGACTCCAACAAAAAAAAAAAAAAAAAAACCAAAGTCCCTCTTTCAGGACTCATCAGTAGAGAAGCCAGCAGCTCTCTCAACCAGTCACTGAGGCAGCAGGGAAGGGTGAGGGCCCTGGCTGGGAAAAGGCTGCTCTTTGGAGAGGTATGAATGTGCAGATACAAAAGGCAAGAAGAGCATCCTTACCTCCTCACCCTGGCTAAGGCACTGAGAAGGAAAAAACAAGGTAGGAATGGGAAAGATGGGAAGGGGAGAAGAAGAAAAAAAGGAATTGGAGGGGCATGGGGACCACCACATGGTCCCATGACTGTGCAAACAGGAGCATCTGAGAAGTGGGCAGAGCCACGCCTGCGTGTCCATTACCCATAGCATTCCCCTCACTCTGCTCCAGAGTGGGAGGAAAATGGGTGCCAGGAATCCAGGGAGAACAGCATAGGGTATTTCCCTGAGCCTTAGGGTTAGGGGCTAAACCACAAAGCTTTATACACAATGGCAATTTCTATCCCTTCCTATCCTGCTCAGTCCCCTCAGCCTCTATGTGGACCACCATTCCACTCTAAGGGTGATGACGGAGGGGTCAGCACTTGAGGGAAGGGCTCTGTTGGCTTAAAATATCCACTCCTCCAGTGGAAAGGAAAAGTCCATCCATCAGCTTATTGCTGCTGTCTTTTTTTATCACCATCACTCAGACCTCTCCCTGTCTCAGGGCTGAATAACTGGGTCAACCACAGGAACAAGGAACCCGAGGTGGGCAGGACAGAGCAGAACAGGGCTGGCTGGGATAGGCCTCGAGCCTGCTTTCTGGGCCCTTGAGGACCACAAGCTAACAGGAGCTGGTCTGTAGGTTGCTCTCCGTAAGCAGTGATGCAATGGATGAGGGATCATAGACACTGTCGAATTCCTCATCTGAACTCAGCCCTTCATGTTTGAGGGTTGACTCAGCAGCTGAGCGGGAAGCTTTGCGCCTGAGTCAGAGAAAAGAATACTGGTAAGAGAAGGGGAATAGAAAAACGGAGACCGCCGCGCTTTTCATGCTAAAGAAACTCCAGTTTTTCTAAGGCCAGATGTTACTCACAAAACCTCCCACTAAACAGAGATTTGTGGAGATGGGGTACAGACAGGATGCTGGCTGAGATACTAAGAAATAATCATAACGGCTTCCAGCCAGGAATAAGTGACTTCACAATCCCGCCTGAGCGATTCTCCTCCTTATCCAGCTCCCATTCCCTTCCTACTCTACTGTCCCTCTGGCGCAGAAGGAAGAAGGGTGGCCCGTACCAGGAGTCCTTCTCCAGGGATTTGATCCGGGCCTGGAGCTGTTCGTTGACCTCATGCTGCTCCTCCAGCTCACGCTGGGCCTTCTTCCTCAGGCCATCCAGTCGCTCGATTTCCTCTTCCGCTTCATCCACCTGCCGCTTCAAAGCCTTCACCCTCAGGCTCAGCTGGGCAGGATACCGAGTCCCCACGTTAGAAAAGCATCTGCTACTGTGGCCTGGGACCCTCCCCTGGAACAATCTTGACAAGGGATAAAAGTGACCCTGGGCAAGTTCCCTAGCCTTGGAGGGTTGCCTTGGGGATTACCTGTATGACTACACGTATGACACGCAGAGAACCTAGCACATCCTAAGCACTCACTACACACGTGTACTAGTCTGGCCCTTTCAGTCTAGTCCGCTCTGTCCTTACACAAGGAACAACCGAGTCTGGAGTGCCTGTGGGAGGTAAGAGCCTCCTGTGGCCTTCTCACCAACACATAATACGTGCTCGCCCCATGGCTGCTTGGCCCTGGGACGCCACGTCCTTACCTGGTCTTTCTGGTCATTAACATGCTGTCGTTCATCGTCAATCTGGATGGACAGCTCTTTTACTCTCCGCTCCAGTTTGCGGGTGGTGGACTGCAGAACTGACTTCTCCCTAAGAGGGTGAGGTGGAGGTATGTCTATGGGTGCTGCCATTTCTAACGTGGCCCCCTACTTCTTCCAAGGACTTCTTGCAGTCATGAGTCCCACCACAAGACCAGGGAGAATCCAGGACAAATCCAAAGCACCAGGGAGATTGAGGTCTTCCGCATTTCAGAATTTCTGCAACTCTCACTGCTCTCTATCAGGAGAAAAGGCCACCCTAAAGACCAGGCCAGTTTGGCCATTTATGAGACAGAAGATGGAGAGAGCTCCAGAGAAGAAAAGTCCAAAAGGAGGGAGGCGGGGAGGGAGAACAGGTTCATGTCACCTTTCTTCAGTCTGTAGCCGCTCCTGCAACAATTGATTCTGGGACTCAAGCTGAGAGAGGCTGGCATTGGGCTTCTGGAAGCCTTCTGAGTTGGCCAAGCGGGTCTTCAGGTCCTTGTTCTAATAGGGACGGGAAGTCTCCACGGTTAGCAATCCACTTGGTCCTTCTACCCACCTCCTCTGGTCTATCCTCAAGACCTTCCCTCTTACCTGTCTCTCCAAGGAGATTTTGTCACACTCCAGGTCCTGCCGAGCAGACCTTTCCTGCATGAGCTCAGTTCTCAGCTGATCTACCTAGTGGGGATGGGTGAGAGGAACCACACTTGGGGAGGGCTAGGGATGAGCCAGCAAACTGAACCAAGCGAGACAGAGTCACTGAAGATGGTCTCTGAACCAAATTCCCAGGCAACTAAGAAATCACAGCCTAGCCGGGTGTGGTGGCTCACGCCTATAATCCCAGTATTTTATGAAGCCGAGGTGAGAGGACTGCCTGAGCTCACGGGTTCAAGACGAGCCTGGGCAACTTGGCAAGACCTCATTTCTACAATACATCAAAAAATTAGCCGGGCATGATGGCGTGTGCCTATAGTTCTAGCTACTTGGAAGGCTGAGGTGGAAGGATCACCTGAGCCCAGCAGATCAAGGCTTCGGTGACCATAAGTGTGCCACTGCATTCCAGCCTGCGCACCAGAGTGAGACTGCAACTCAAAAAAAAAAAAAAAGAAAAGGAAAAAGAAATCACAGTCTATTCAAATGGGAGGAGGCACAGAACTTAAATAAGGTCTCCCTAGTCCCGCCAGGAACTAGCATTACTGAACCAAACAGCCCCCATTCAGGTCAGAGAGTAACCCAGGCCACCAGGATTCCCTCCTTCACTCAAATTCATGGCTTCTTTCCACCTGAGAAAACTAACCCTCCCCAAAGTAGGTAAGACCCTGAAGTAGACCCAGCCACACACAGATCCTGCAGCCAGAACTCTCCAGATTGTGAAAGATGGGAGGGCAGAGTTGTTTTTGAAAGGATCGAGAGGTTATATTGACCAGGCACGGTGGCTCAAGCCTATAATCCCGGCACTTTGGGAGACCAAGACGAGAGGAATGCCTGAGCTCAGGGGCTTGAGACCAGCCTGGGCGATTTAGCCAGATGTGGTGGCACACGCCTGTGGTTCCAGCTACTTGGAAGGCTGAAGTGGAAGGATCACCCGAGCCCAGCAGATTGAGTCTGTGGTAGCTGTGAGCATGCCACTGCACTCCAGCCTAGGCAACAGAGTGAGACTACGACTCAAAAACAAACAAAAAACAAAAAAAACCAAAGAGGTTATATCATCAGGGGTAGACAGAGATGGGGGGTAAGGACGGGGTTACCTGGTCCCGGCCACGATTCACCCTGTCTGTTAGCAGTTCCACAGTGTTCTTCTCTTCATCCAACTCTGCTTCCAGCCGTGAGACTTTTTCCTATGATGGAAGGACAAGAGGTTAATTCTACCCTAAATGCTAGACACTGGAATGCCAAACTCAGACCAGGACCCAGCCTCCACAGACATCTCTCTTGCACATCCCAGTAACCTTTGGTTCTTGCCCCTGCTCAGAGCTACCATGGAGTTAGCGCCCTCTGCTGACCAGGTGTGACATCATGGGGAGGGGGTGGATGGGACATGCTCTGGTCATGGCCCCTTGGCAGGAAGGCAAACCTCAGAATCCATTCCTCATTGGAGATCCCCCCTATTTCTCAAATGCGACAACTGAGCCAAGGCTGGGATGGAAAGACTCAGAAACAAGTGCCAGAGGCAGGGCCATGCAGAGGCTAAGAGACGAACATGCAGCCAGACTGCCTGGGTTTGAAAATCAGATCTACCATTTCCTGGCAGTGGAACTATGGACAAGTTAATCTCTGTTCCTCAGTTTCCTTCCTCTGCAAAATGGAGAAAACAACACTACCTACCCCACAGGGTTAATCTGAGGATTAAATGAGTCTTTTTTTTTTTTTTTGAGGTGGAGTCTCACTCTGTCGCCCAGACTGGAGTGCAGTGGCCGCTCCCGGCCACCACAGCCTCGACCTGCTGGACTCCAGCGATCCTTCCACCTCAGCCTTCCGAGTAGCCGGAATTACAGGCATGCGCTACCACGCCCGGCTGATTTTTTGATTTATTGTAGAGATGAGGTCTCGCTGCCCAGGCGGGTCTCGAACTCGCGGGCTCAGGCAATTCACTCACCTCAGCCTCCCAAAGGCACGGGATTACAGGCTGAGACACCGAGCCCAGCTTAAATGAGTCTTAAGTGCCTGTTGCACAGCACAATATATGTTTGCTAGTGCTATTATTATGATTATCAAAGAAAGCAAGTTGAAGAACATTGCTCACTCTAAAGGGAGAAACCCACAGCTCAGCTCCAGCCAACCTCTGCCATGCAGACTCAGGACTAGAAGCTCAGTGTTACCATATCTTTCAAACATCAAAGAAACCAGAAATCCACATTTTGGGGTGACATCTATAAGTTTCTAATATTGGCAATTAATTCAAAGCTGTTTAAAACACCACAGCCAAACAAAACGCATCAGTCATGGGCTGTCAGTTTCTATCTCTAGTACAGAAAAAGGTTGGAAAGTCTCACCGATGCCAGGACCCAGAACCCTCCCCACAAAGGGTCATTCCTCAAGACCTCACCTCAAGGCCCTTAAGTTGCCGGGCCCTGTCATCCTGGGAGCGCTTCTTGTTCTCTGCCTCTTGCTCCAGTCCCTGCATTCGCTGGGCCAGCAATTCTTTGTCCAATCGGATTGAGTCTCGCTCAGCCTGGGCTGCCTGCAGGGCCTGCCGCAGTCTCTGAATCTGAGTAGGAGGGAAAAATGCGAAAGCTCAGTGTAGTAAGAAGGTGGAGGTTGAGGGTGTGAGCAGCCCACCCCTGTGAAAAGAAATGTTTCATTGCTGACATTCTTTTTTTTTTTGAGTTGGAGTCTCACTCTGTCTCCCAGACTGGAGTGCAGTGGCCGCTCCCGGCCACCGCAGCCTCAACCTGCTGGGCTCCGGCGATCCTTCCGCCTCAGCCTTCCCAGTAGCCGGAATGACAGGCATGCGCTACCACGCCCGGCTGATTTTTTTGTTTTATTGTAGAGATGAGGTCTCGCTGCCCAGGCGGGTCTCGAACCCACGGGCTCAGGCAATCCACTCACCTCAGCCTCCCAAAGACGCGGGATTACAGGCTGAGCCACCGAGCCCAGCATTGCTGACATTCTTTAGAATTATCAGTGTGTGGCAACAATAAAAAGCACACTGACTTTTCCTCTATTTTCTTTATTGCTTTAAAATTATCTATACAAACTGGAATCACCTGAGGAGTATTTTAAAAAACACTGATGCTAGGTCTTACCCTCAAAGATTATGATTTAAGTGGCATGAGATACAGCTTGGGCATTGGAATTTTTAAAAATCTCCCCAGGTGGCTCTAATGTGCAGTAGAGTTTGAAAATCACTGCTTTAGCTGGGCTTGGTGGCTCAGCCTGTAATCCCAGAGCTTTGGGAGGCTGAGGTGAGTGGACTGCCTGAGCCCGAAGGTTCAAGACCTGTCTGGGCAACTTGGCGAGACCTCATCTCTACAATAAATCAAAAATTAGCCAGGCGTGGTAGCACGTGCCTGTAGTTC